GGCAGGTGCCAGTTTGGGAGAAGCTGGCATTGCCAAGCTGGGGGATCTAGACTTTCTCCTGAGGGTGATGGGGAACTATAGAAAAGAGAGGTCCCATCTGATTGTGATCAAGTGAGGCTTTAAGGAAGAGGCAGATTTGCATAGACTTGGGCATTGGAGGATGGAGGGAGGATTTCTAATGACAGAGAAAATGGGAAAGGTATGAGGATTTCTGACTATGGACAAGAAGTGGTAAGAATGGGGACAGATAGGGAGTCTTGATGTGGGCCATGTGGATTCCATCCATCCATCCATCCATCCATCCATCCATCCATCCATCCATCCATCGACTGAACATTTAGGAGCACCTATTCAGTATAGGGCCAGGTTGAGGGGGTGTGGGTTTTGTCCTGGGTGCTCTGGGGAGCCACAGGAGGATTGTGAGCAGGGGAGGTCCACGGTCAGCTCTGGGGGTGTGTGAGGGATGACCTGGAGAGTGGAGATCGGAGGCTGGGAGGCCAGGGAGGAGGCTGGGGAGAGGGTGGAGAGGACAGGGCTGTGGGGATGGAGAGCAGGGGACAGGACTTGGGGACTGAGGTGCTGTGGGGCAGAAGGGAATGGTGACAGTGCTTGGGAGTCAGGCCCAGTGTCTGGGTGGACAGTGTGAAACAGCTAGTGGGAGCTGGGGGCAGTGAGCACCCGGGGTCCAGCCTATATCCCACTCCTCACCCACGGCCCACCCTTCTCAGTACCAGAGGCACCTGTTCGTACACATCAGCCAGCACTGCCCCAGCCCTGGAGCGCCCCCCCTCGAGAGTGTGGACGTCCGGCAGATCTATGACAAATTCCCTGAGAAAAAGGGTGGCCTTCGGGAGCTGTATGATCGCGGGCCCCCTCACGCCTTCTTCCTGGTCAAGTTCTGGGTGAGTTCTGCCACCAAAACAAAGTGCCCACAAATCACGTGGTCTCCCATCTATAAGGCCTCTGGCTCTAAGGGAGACAAGCTCAGAGTGTCAGCCCGCTTTGTAACAAGGAACACCGAGGAGTGTTACCCCCAGGGGGGGATGGATAGGACTTGGACCTCCCCAGATCACACTAGACTTTGCCACAACCAGTTGCGTGACTGATGTGGCCTTGGGGATTGGCTTGCAACCCTTCAGACTTCCCTGCGCCCCACCCGGCCACGTGAAGCCTTGTTGCTAAGGGATGGCTCCCGTCCCTTAGCAAATAGAGGCACAGAGTTTGGTTTCTGAAGAGAGCACAGTGCCACCAGGCCCTGTTGCTAGAGAATGTCTGGCCTTAAAAAAGTGACTGAAGGACCTGGGAGGGACTTTGTGAAAGCATTTATTTATTAAACAATCATTTATTGAGCACTTACTGTATACTGGCTCTATGCCAAGTGCTATGTATATAATTGTGAACAAGAGGGTCCATCTTGGGTCTTTCTTAGGCCCATTCGGTTTGGTATCCACTACGGTGGCTGATGCTGTAGGGATCCAGTAAATGTTATGAATGTTCAGGGGGGTGTTAACGCTTGTTAACCAGAGCTGTGGCATGATCTAGTGTCTAAGAAGGAAGCGGGCTGAGGGCTTGAAGTTTACTGGCTCAGCTGGGCCTGTAGCAACCGTGGTTATAAGTTGTTCTAATGTGTGGGGGCCCAAGATGGCTCTGCGGATGTGCCGCTGAGATCTTAGGCATCGTTGGGACTTAAGACAGGCCTCACCAGGTCTGTCTGGAGAACAACTCCTAGAAAGCCCAGCCTCTGAAGGGATGCAGGGGTGTGGCTGGGGAGGCTGGGAGTGGCCATTGCCAGGGTGATGCATGGCGTCAGGTCTCTGAGGAGATTAAACGATCTCAGAGAGTGACCTGGTCGAGTGAGCAACTAAAGTTAGGAAGAGAGAGAGGTAGGCTTCCCGAAAAGGTGACCAAGGGGCTCAGACCGCAAGTGTGATGAGGTCTTAGGCTTTGTTAGGTCCCACTTGGCCTAATGGACTGTCTGCCCACTTGGCCACTGGGATCTTAGAGGGGTCTGACCTCCAAGGATTGGCTGAAAGGGCTGGGGAGAATGTTCTGGAGAGGCGTCAGGTTTCCCCAGGCCCCTGCAGGCCCCTTTGCTAGGGAGTAGCCACTTGCCTTAGCAACCAGGGTCCCGAAGGCCTGGGGGAGGGGGGCGGAGTCTCTGGTTGCTAGGGAGTAAACTGCCTTCTTAGTAACCAGGGCCTTGGAAGGGGCTGAACTCCTGAGTTGGGGGCTTCAGGAGAAGAAAGTTGAATTGTTGGGTGGAGGAGGGGGGCGCTGTGACTGGGGAGAGAGGGGTCAGGACCATTTTAGGGAGCCAGCCTTCTCCAGTACCAATAGGAGGGTGGGTGTTTTCCAGAAACAGGCCCGTGGAGACATGGGGCTTTGAATACAGAGGAGGAGAGGTAGGCAACTGCATGGGCTATGGGGGACTGAAGGACCTGGGAGGGACTTTGGGGCTATGGGGGAAACCAGGCCATGGCGCAGAGTTCCCACTTGAGGAGAGTCCCTACCATTTATAAGGAACCTACCTGTGCGTCCCTATCCTCCAGGCGGACTTGAACTGGGGCCCAAGTGGCGAGGAGGTAGGGACTGGTGGCAGCAGCGGTGGCTTCTACGGAGTGAGCAGCCAGTACGAGAGCCTGGAGCACATGACCCTCACCTGTTCCTCCAAGGTCTGCTCCTTTGGCAAGCAGGTGGTGGAGAAGGTGGAGGTGAGGCTGGAGGGGTGGAGCTCCGGGCAGGTGAGCGCCCAGCCACCTGCCACTTTGGGGGTGCAGACTAAAAGGACCAAAGCCACAACAGCCCCTGCACTTGGGTGTCTGTGTGGTGGGGTGGGGAGTATCCCGTCCTCTTTGGGGATTTCATTAATACATGGGCTTAGAGCTGATATTGTGTTCCCAAGTCACATGTAGGGATTATTTTGAGGGTTCAAAGGTAATGTGTGGTACAGAGATTTACAGTCACTAAGATTCAGAAGGTTCTTATGGATATGGAGAAATCTGCAGGGCAAGGAGGTTTAGGGGTCACACTTAGGGATTGCTGGAGGGGTCTTGAACTCAGAAGTCAGAGTTCGGAGACCTAGTGGAGGGGGGGTCTTTGGAGGGTGTGAGGGTATCTGAGGGCCTGGGGGTCAGAGCAGTTCAGAGGTCTTGGAGGAGGGTTCAGAGCACAGTTTTGAGAGGCTGGAGGGCTTCCTGGTTTGCAGGCTCAGGGATCCCAAGTTGGATACCCAAGGGTCCAGGTCCCAAGGATGGGGCGATGGGGGAAGGATGGCAGTGGGGAGTGGGCGTGGCATCAGGGATGCACACAGTGCCTGGGGTGACCCCTGTCTCTTGGTCACTGTCCTCCCCACTCTGCGCCCCCATCCCGGTTCAGACGGAGCGTGCCCAGCTGGAGGATGGGAGGTTTGTGTACCGCCTGCTGCGCTCACCCATGTGTGAGTACCTGGTGAATTTCTTGCACAAACTGCGACAGCTGCCCGAGCGCTATATGATGAACAGCGTCCTGGAGAACTTCACCATCCTCCAGGTGAGGCATGGGGGCTGGGCCGAGCAGGATAGCTGATGTGGGGAGTGCCCACAACAGCCCCTCAGCCCGGGGACCCTTTCACCTGGGGGACTGACAGGGGGGAGCCCACAGCTGAGCCTTTGCTTAGGTGACCCCTTTACCCAGGAAACTGATGTGGTGGGGACTCCACAGCACTCTCATTTAGGGGGATCCCCCTGTCACTGGGGAAACTGACTTGGAGGACATCCCATGGCGGATCCTCAGTTTAGGGGATCCCCCCTTCATAGGGAATCTAACCTTAGCCCAGGGAACATGATATGGTGGGATCCCCTTTAACTTTGGTTAACTTCATAGATTTTATTTGAGAGAGAGAGCTGAAGGGAGAGGGAAAGGGAGAGAGAATCTGAAGTAGACTCCGCACTGAGCACAGAGCCCAATGTGGGGCTTGATCTCATGACCATGAGATCATGACCTGAGCCGAAACCAAGAGTTGGACGCTTAACTGAGTCACCCAGGCGCCCCCACTTTGGTTAACTTTGATATGCCATCTGATGTGAGGCCCCTCACTGCCAACGCTCAGATGGGGAACCAGACATGTCAGGCATCCCCTCTACCTAGGGAATGTGATATGGTGGGGACCTCTTTCCTAGGTATCCTATGGTACCTCGGGGAGGACACAGTGGTCCTTGCTCTTCCTTTTTTGCATAAACCCTTTCTCTTGACCTCCTTGGCAGGTGGTGACAAACAGAGACACCCAGGAGCTGCTGCTCTGCACCGCCTACGTCTTTGAGGTCTCCACCAGTGAGCGGGGGGCCCAGCACCACATTTATCGCCTGGTCAGGGACTGAAAGGGGGCCCCAAAAGTGGCTCACCCCCCGGAATACCCTCCTCCCAGGAAGTACCTCCAGCTTTCTTCATGCTCATTTGGGGAGGGGGCTGCTCCGTGTTAGAGGACCTTAAAAGCTGGGTGGTGAGTTGAAAAGATGGGTCCTGATACCGAGACCTCACAGTGGTAGCTGAAAGGACAGATCACTCCAGAGCATCAGGGACTGGGGACAGGAGTGAGACAGCCACGAGGTACAGCACTGGTTTCTCAGTCTCTAACAGGCGCCCTCCCCCAACTTGGTTCTGGATGTTTTGGATGGCCTTAGAAAGTATGCTGGTTTGTCTCTCTGTTTTTCAACACCCCCCCTTCCCAATCTGCCTCTCTTTACCACCCCCAACCCTGTGACCTTGAGATCAAATATTGAAGGTTAACCCTTTGTGCAGGAGCAGAGCCAGGTGGGCCCTGGAAATATTTTTTTTAATATAACAAGAGATATTTATAAGTGGGTATTAGGGTCGTGACTTTTTCTCAGCTGGGCAAGCTGTGGGGTGAGGCTTTTAAATTTCATCCTCTCTTCTCAATAAGACGTGGGCTATATACTGTGTTGCCTCCCCTCACCGGCAAAGTGTGTTGGTTTGTGTTTTGACAGAGGATAAAACTATTTTACCAAAACGCAAGGGATTTATTTGGGGTTTGGGCGAAAATAATCCTGTGGGAGGTGGTAAGCCGAAAGATGAGGCAAGGAAACGAGGTATCTTTGGGGGCAGGAAGCTGGTGGCCGGAAGCCCCAGGTCCCGCGGGAGAAGTGACAGCAGCTGGGCAGGCAGACATCTGGGTCCCCCCGGGGAAATGAGGAGGTGGAGGACTCAATGGTTGGGGCGAACTGGGGATTGAACAAATATTTACAGACCACAGGGAAGCCCCTAGGGCACTTGAAGGGGATGGGGCGGGGCTTTGGGAAGGGGCGGGGGCCTAGCGGTACCGAGCGAGCCGGTCGTAGACTTGATCCAGGTTTCTGCACAGGAATATCGAGAGCGTCATGAAGCTGAGCTATAGAGAAAGGAGACCTGGTCAGAGAGGTCCATGGGATGCCGGCTAGGAGGATTGGGGTCGGAATGGTGGGGGTTCCGAGGGAGAAAAAAGGGGTTGCGCCAGGGGAAGAAAATGAAGCGCGGAGATTTGGGTGGGATGGGATCATGGGAGGGGCGGAGAAGGGTGGGGCTAGAGGGGGAGCTCCGCCAGGTTGAGAAAGATGGGGTCAGGGATGGGAATTTGGGGGCTTGGGGTAAGTTACCAAAGATGCGGGGGGAGGAGGGAAGATGGAAAGAAGGGGAATAGGGTGGGGTAGGGGTATCCAGCTGCGTCTAGCGCAGGTTTAGAGTCTGGGAAGGAGTGAGATCCAGAGCTAGCCCAGGGTACTTTATTCCGGAAGCTCATCGGTCTCCCTCTCTGCCTCGGCCGCTAATTCCACCTCGACCTCCACCTCCTCGCCCGCGCTCCCGGTCTCGGGTTGTTCCTCGTCTTGATCCCAAAGCGGCCAGGGCCCCAGGGCCATGGGCAGCTTGCCCTGTGGGGACTTGTCCCCCCAGTTGGGACAGGCATCCGCCATGCCCCAGCCACCCCACAGACCGCCGCTACGCCCGCTGCTGCTCAGTACACCACAGCGCCCGCCGCCGCCATCAGCACTCGGGCCAGGCCCGGGGCTCGAATCACAGGCGCCCGGCACCTGCAGCTGGCGTTCGCGGCGGAGCGCCCAGCGCAGTAGTAGAAGGCTCAGCCCCGCTACACTCACCTGCGGGGAAAGGGGAGGGATATTGCAGCTAAGAGCAGGGGGCTGGAACGCCAAGGAGGACCAATGGGAACTTCGCGAGAGCGGGAGGGAACGCCTGCTTCCTGCCTGCAACCAATCAGGGCTCGCAGAGGGTGGGTCTCCCTCGTGCCAAGTGGAGAGGCAGGAGAGCCTGGATTGGCTGACGCTCTAGCACGCATGCACCTTTCCCAGAAAATGGGAGGACGCGCAGCTTGGGGCGGGGCCGTCTACGGACTGTACGGCCAATCGCGAGTCGGGACGGGTCCAGATTACCTCAAGTAGACCGACGCCCAGACAAATGCCCACTATGGAGATGAGGTTGTTGTGCAACCACTTTTGGAGGCTCCGCGCGCAGCCCTGGGAATGTCGGGAAAGGTTAAAAGTAGGGTTCTTTCTGGGATTCGCCCTCAAGCCCGTGCCCACTGTTCTCCTCAGCCCAGCCCTCACCCCTCCTTCAGGCACCGCCCGCATCCCTAGTTAGTAGGGTTCTCTACGGTCTCTCCACTTCGCGCGGTCCCAGCGTCCTTTCAGTCAGGACTTTTAGGCCCCGCCCCTACGGACCACGCCCCTTCTAGGGAGCCCCACCCCTCCTGATATACCGCTTTCTCGTAGCCCCACCCTGCAGACCCTTCCCAAGTCCTGCGGCTCCGCCTCCTGGGGAGCAAGCCCCTGCCGCTGCCCTACTCCCTCACAGGGCCCTCCCCTTTCTAGCCGACTCCAAACCGTCCCCACCTCGCTGTAGATATTGCTGTTTGCAGGAACCACGCAAAGGTCTGTACTGTGCCGGGGCCGCGCCAGTGGTCCGAGCCGGCTGAACTGGGTGAAGGAGAGCTTATCGAAGACTGCGGAGTCATTGGTCGCTGATGAATTATAGCAGGAGCAGGGCACGCGATGCACCTCCGACTCGTTGCTGATGAGGCTGGGGATATTGAACCAGTCCCGAGGAGAGTTCCAGCCGCAGCAGCGCAGCTGGAAGAGGGACAAGAGTCAGAGGGACGGGGACTGGAGGGATTCAAGATGATTTGGGGGTTCAGGGGACTGGGTGATGTGTATGAGGTCGTGTTGGGGAGCAGAGAGCTAAATAGTGGGTGCAGGGTGGGGGACGGCGGGCTAGGCTTGGGGACATTAGGGGAACATGGGGTTGGGAGAGATGAATCACGGGCCACCTGGGGCTGTGGGAGGAGCTGCAGAATCGCTCTGCGCACCGAAGATTGGGTGGGCAGTGCAATTCAGCCTCAGGTAGGGGACAGGTGGATGGGAGGGCAGGGCCATGTGAATGACCAGGGAATGGAGTCTCACGTGGGTCGGGTCCCGTGAGGGCCACAGTCACTAAGGATTAGGGAGTGGGGTTACGCTAGGGCCTTGGGGCTGAGGGCGAAGTCTTGTCGGGGCACAAAGCGGAGCCTCTCCAGGGTCTCTGGGAGCTTGGGGGAAAAGCCCACGTTGGAGTCGGTTACGTTATCTTCTGGGGGCGGGGCCACGTTGGGCTGGCAGGAGGTGGGGTGGGTGGGGTAGGGTTACCTTGCGGTCCCGGAGCTGCGGGCCCCGGCTTCGTCAGAGTCCCTGAGCTAGAGGGAGGGATACGCGTCCGCGTGGGTGGGGGCCTCACGCACCTGGAACTGCACGTAGTCCCAACTCTCCTCCGCCACCGACTCCTCCGGACGCGAGCGGTAGTTTTGGATTGTCTCCATCACGATGTCCTTCACCCTCCGTTCCAGCTAAGAGACGGAGAATGAGGCTGGATTCCCACTCGCTTTCCCACCCCCCTTTGCCCCTACCCAGTCCAGCCACTCCCGGGCTTTCTCAGTCCCAAGGGGTCCCCCGAGCGGCTTGAAGTCGGTCTCAATTTCTCACTGAATGGCTATGTCTCTGTTCCTCAAAATCTCTGCATGTTTCTATGGTCTGTCTTTCTGTTCCCCCGCTATCTCCCACGCTCTCTCATTAGGTCTCTGTCTCTCCTGTTTCTCCGCCTGTTTTCTGTCTACCTTTGGATCTGTATCTCTTACTATGTCTTCGTCCGTGTCGTGATCTTCCTTTGACTCTCCTTGTCTCTATCTTCCTGTGTGTCTGTCTCTGGGTCTCTGACTCTCACTGTCTTCCTCTGCCTGTCACTGTTTTTTCCCTTTGTCCATGTCAGCCCGTGTCTGCTCTTGTTTTTCCCCCCTCCACCGCCCCATACATTTGGCGGGGGGGGGGGGGGGGAGTGTGGGGAGGGGAAGCCAAGCTCACCCGCATCCGCTGAGTGGAGATAAGGATTCCCAGGGTGATCTGCGTGGCAAACAGGAGCAGCAGTATCCCAAAATACTGGGGGGCAGAGTGGAGAGTTCAGACTGAGTCCCCTCCCAGGATGCAGAGCTGCCAGGGCTCTATTGGAGGGGGGATATGGGCAGGGCACTCACCAGGCCCAGGAGGCAGCGGAGCTCCTTCAGGGCCCCCACACAGCCCAGGAGGGCAAGGCCCATGGTGAGAATTCCTGAGGTGGCCAGGGCTTTGGACCAGATCTGCAGGGGCACGAAGGACAAGCCTGGGGGAGGTGAGAGGCAGTGACATTGGGCTCATGCACACAGCTCCAGGGAGCCCTACTCCCCACCCACACAGCCACTCAACTGGGGAGCATATTCTGGGGGGCCTCTTTCTCTGGGTGTCTGTCCCTGCCACATGTTGAGTCTCTGTTTCTCTCCTTCTGGGATTCTCTCTCTCCCTCTGTCTGGGACTCTGTCCCTTCTGAGTCTCTCTAGGTCTCTGTCTTCTCTCTGGATCTCTGTCCCCCTTCCTCCCTGGTCACAGTTTCTCCCTCTTGCTCTCAGTCTCTCCTCCTCCTCCTCACCCCCAATAGTTTCAGTCCCATCACTTGGTCTGTGGCATTGGATCAGTCACTAAAACCTCCCTGAGGGCTAGGGGAGGATGATCTACTCCCTAGGATTATTTTAAGGGACACATGGGAGGCATATGTTCAACGCAGTCCTCAATACAGGACAAACACTTATTAAATATGAACCATTAGGATCTCGACTATTAGTCCATTATTACTTTCCTACTATCATTAGTGTTCTATCTGCTCTTTTACTTCCTTGCTGTGTGACCTCCAGTAGGTGACATCCCCTCTCTGAATCTCCAGAGAGGGTAAGTTTGTGGGAGGATCTGATAAGCATCTGCATGAGCTATACCGTGTAGGAAGTGCCTGAGAAATGGCTATTACCATTTTTATTATCGTTCGTATGCACAACTCATTCGCCAGAGGAAGACCCCAAGGCTAAGAGCAGTAGCAGGCTGTGAAGCAGAGCCTGGGACGGTGGAGATCCCAGGATGTCACACAGGGGAAGGCCAGGTCACACTTGCTCCAGGAGGCCCTCCCCAATGGCCCCGGCCCCCTCACCTACAAAGGACACGAAGCTGGTCTTGTCAATGAGTATCCAGATGCCAAAGCAGAAGATAAGGCTGCCTAGGACCTGGCGAGAGGAGATGGGAACGTGACGGTGGGCAAAGGCGGGGTGGGGTGGGGTGGCAGCAGTGGTATATATCAGGTCAGGTGGCTGCAGCAGGGGCGGGGGCCGGGGCCTGGGCTGGGCAGCCATGTGGCAACTCACGAAGAAGAAGAGGTTGAAAACGAAGAGGAGGTACTTGATGAGGCTGAGGCAGCTGTCCTGGGCCGACATCTTCGCCTAGAGGGGTGGGCAGCCGTGGGAGGGACAGAACAGAAGAGGTGCTGGCCCCGGAGGAGACAGGCAGAAAGACAGAGGCCGTGAGAGACGGAGAGGGAGAAAGGAAGAACGCAGAGAAAGAGGAAGTCCCCGGGGTGGAGCCCCACCCCCTCCCTCTACAGGCGAGGTGGCTTTCTTGTCTGTCTCTGCCCACCCCCCCGCCTCCCTCACCTGCCCCACTGGGACACACACCAGTACCTGAGGGGCCTTGGAGTTTGTGGGCACCAAGGACACGCTGGGTAGTCCCTCCCAGGTCTCCATGGCTCCTTATGGGACTCCCACAGGGACTCTTGAGCTCCTTGTACCCCTTACTCTGGGCACCAGGACCCCAGGCCAACCCTGGACAGCAGCCGACCTCACAGACACTCTGACCTCACTGCCTGCTAAGCTCTGCCATCTCTGCATCCCTCTCTGTCCCCGCTTCCCCAGGCCAACCCTGGACAGCAGCCGACCTCACAGACACTCTGACCTCACTGCCTGCTAAGCTCTGCCATCTCTGCATCCCTCCCTGTCCCCTGCCTCAGTCTCTCGTCCTCCCTTTTCTGGGTCTCTGTTCCCTTCTCTCTGGGTCTCTGTCCATCCCTGCCTGCCCCCCCCCCGGCCCCCGCATTTATCTCCTCCCTCTCTGGGTTTCTGGCCCCTTCTCTCTGCATGCCAGTCCTTTCTCTGCTTATTGCCCTCCCCCCCACCACCACATACACCTTGTCACGGCCCCTCTCTCAGAGTCTGCATCCTGTTCTTGGCAACAAGTGTAGACCGCGGTGCTCCCATATGCTGGGGCAGGGGTTGGGCACCTGAGGGAAGTGAAAGTGCTGCAGTGCCCCAAGTGGGAAGGTCCCTGGGAGTGAGGGGGGTGGCTGGGCTGTGCCAAAACACCCAGAGGAAGCTGAGCCTCAAGCAGTACTTCCTGCATCTGCACTGGGGCCCCAAGAAGGGGAGGCTGGGGAGGAGTCAGGATTGAACTGGGACCTTGGCAGTTAGATCTAGGTCTGAGTGCTTGGTTGTCTCCAGACCTGAGCCACACACCCAGCAGCCTCTGAAAGTCTCTCCTGTTGCCCCACAGCCCCCACTCTCATCAAGTCAGATTTCCATGTTTGGGGATGTTCCTATCATCCTGATATCCACCCAGGTCCTGGAAAACCAGTGCCTCTTAGAGACCCAGCACCTTCTCTTTCTGAGAGATCTCATCCACTGTTTTTTTTTTTTTTTTAAGGCTCCAAATGCAATTTATTTTCTTATTAATGTCATCAAAAATCAATTCATATTAATAGTATTCTGATTTTTGGCTCTGGACTTCCTCTTTTTCTCTTTCCAATGTTATTGAGGAATAATTGACAATTATAATTTTATATATTTCAAGTGTATAACATGATTTTTTAAAAAAGATTTTCTTTATTTATTTGACAGAAAGGGAGAGAGAGAGAGCATGGGCAGGGGGGAGGAGCGAGGAGAAAGGGAGAAGCAGGCTCCTTACTGAGCAGAGAGCCCGACTTGGGGCTTGATCCCAGGACCCTGGGATCAAGACCTGAGCTGAAGGCAGACGCTTAATGGACTGAGCCACTGAGTGCCCAACATAATGATTTGATATACATACACACTGTGGAATGATTACCAAGCTCAAGATAACATGTTCATCATCGCACATAGTTAACTTTTTCTTCTTTTGGTGGTGAGAACCCTTAATAGATATTCTCAGCAACTTTCTAGTACACAATACTGAATTATTAACTATAGTCACCATGCTGTACATTAGATCCTCAGAAATGTATTTTCATTCTTTTTTTTTTTTTAAGATTTTATTTATTTAGGGGCGCCTGGGTGGCTCAGTCGTTAAGTGTCTGCCTTTGGCTCAGGTCATGATCCCAGAGTCCTGGGATCAAGTCCTGCATCGGGCTCCCTGCTACACGGGAGACCTGCTTCTCCCTCTCCCACTCCCCCTGCTTGTGTTCCCTCTCTCGCTGTATCTCTCTGTCAAATAAATAAATAAAATCTTAAAAACAAAAAGATTTTATTTATTTATTCATAAGAGAGAGAGAGAGAGAGGCAGAGGGAGAAGCAGGCTCCCCGTTGAGCAGGGAGCCCGACGTGGGACTCAATTCCAGGACCCTGGGATCATGACCTGAGCCGAAGGCAGATGCTTAACCATCTGAGCCACCCAGGCGCCCTGTATTTTCATTCTTACTTCTTTTTTTCTCCTCTGACTGGATAATATCAAGAGATCTGTCTTCAAGTTCACAGATTCTTTCTTCCCTGGTGGGCCAACCCCTGGGTGGATGTCCTCATTCCCTCTCTCCCTCTTTCCCATACAGCCCATCATTCTATAATCCAATCCTTTCTACCTCTTGATTCTCTGCTCTCTCCACTTCTCTCTGTTCTCATGGCTTGGGCTGGCTCAGGACTTGTGCTCTTCCTCCTGGACCCAAACCTCAGACTCCTCCCTGGTCTTAGTCTCTCGCCTCCAGTCCATTCCCCACATGGCCTGAGAGGGCCTTTTGAAACCCAGACCTGGTTTATATAGCTCTAAGTCCAAATCTCAGGACACTGATTCACCATCCCTCATCCCTGAACTCCTCTTCTAAGCCATCATTAAGTCCTCTATGCTCTACTACTAATATACATTTCAAATCCACCCACTTGTCTGCAAGGCCACCATCCTAATCAGGCTCTCATCATCTTCCACACAAATAATTACAATTGCTTCTGTACTGATTGTAGTGGGTTGAATAGTGATACCCTGCCCCTCTCCCCCCAAAAGATATGTCTATGCCAAAGCAATCTCGAAAAAAAAGAAGTATCAAAATCTCAGATTTCAAGGTACACTACAAAGCTGTAGTAATCAAAACAGTATGGTACTGGCACAAAAATAGACACATAGATCAATGGAACAGAATAGAGAGCCATCGGGCACCTGGGTGGCTCATTTGGTTAAGCATCCAGCTCTTGGTTTTGGCTCAGGTCATGATCTCAGGGTTGTGAGATTGAGCCCTGCATTGGGCTCTGTGCTCAGTGCAGAGTCTACTTCAGATTCTCTCCTTCCCCCTCTGCCCCTCCACTCACTTATGCTCACTCTCTCTCTAATAAATGAATGAATGAATGAATGAAAAAATAAATACAATCTTAAAATAAATAAGTAAATCTTAAAAAAAAAGAATAGAGAGCTCAGAAATAAACCCGTGATTATATGGTCAATTAATCTTTGACAAAGGAGGCAAGAATATGCAGTGGGAAAAAGACAAATGGTGTTGGAAAAACTGGACTGCTTTCTCATACCAGACACAAAAATAAAGTCAAAATGGATTAAAGATCCAAATGTGACTTCTGAAACCATAAAAATCCTAGAAGAGAGCACAGGCAGTAATTTCTCTGACACTGGCCCTAGCAACATTTTTCTAGATACATCTCCTGAGGCAAGGGAAACAAAAGCAAAAATAAACTGTTGGTACTACATCAAAATAAAAAGCTTCTGCACAGCAAAGGAAGCAATCAACAAAACTAAAAGACAACCTACTAAATGGGAGAAGATATTAGCAAATGACATATCCAATAAAGGCATAGTATCCAAAATATATAAAGAACTTGTACAACTCAACACCAAAGAAAAATCCAATTAAAAATGGGCAGAGGGGCTCCTGGGTGGCTCAGTCGTTGAGCGTCTGCCTTCAGCTCAGGTCATGGTCCCAGGGTCCTGGGTTCGAGCCCTGCATCGGGCTGCTTGGTGGGAAGCCTGCTTCTCCCTCGCCCACTCCCCCTGCTTGTGTTCCCTCTCTTGCTGTGTCTCTCTCTGTCAAATAGATAAATAAAATCTTAAAAAAAAAATGGGCAGAAGACATGAACAGATATTTCTCCAGAAAAGACATACAGATGGTGGCCACAGACGTATGAAAAGATGCTCAACATCACTAATCATCAGGGAAATGCAAATCAAAACCACAAGTACATATCACTTCACACCTGTAAGAATGGCTAAGATCGAAAACACAAGAAACAAGTGTTGATGAGGATGTGGAGAAAAAGGAACTCTCATGCACTGTTGGTGGGAATGCAGACTGGTACAGCCACTATGGATGACAGTATGGAGGTTCCTCAAAAAAAAAAAAAAATTACCATATGATCTAGTAATTCCACTACTAGGTATTTAATTTACCCAAAGAATACTAAAACACTGATTCAAAGAGATATGCACCACTATGTTTATTACAGCATTATTTATAATAGCCAAATTATGGAAGCAGCCCCAACGTCCATCGATAGATGAATGGATAAAGAAGATGAGATTTATAATGGAATATTACTCAGCCATAAAAAAGAATGAAATGTTGCCATTTGCAACAACATAGATGGATCTAGAGCATATAATGCCAAGGGAAATAAGTCAGAGACAGACAAATACCATATGATTTCACTCATGTAGAATTTAAGAAACAAAACAAACGGACAAAGAGGAAAAGAGACAACCCTAAAAACAGATACATTTTTTTAAGATTTTATTTATTTATTTGACAGAGAGAGAGAGACAGCGAGAGAGGGAACACAAGTAGGGGGAGAGGGAGAGGGAGAAGCAGGCCTCCTGCCGAGCAGGGAGCCCGATACGGGACTCGATCCCAGGACCCTGGGATCATGACCTGAGCCGAAGGCAGACGCTTAACAACTGAGCCATCCAGGCACCCCCAAAAACAGACTCTTAACTATAGAGAACTGATGGTTACTAGAGGGTAGGTGGGGTGGGGGGATGGGTGAAATAGGTGAGGGGATTAGGAGTACATTTATGATGAGCACTGAGTAATGTATACATTACTTATACTTGTTGAATCACTATATTGAACACCTGAAACTAATATAACACTGTATGTTAACTCTACTGGAATTAAAAAAAAAGAATGGATCACAGACCTGTACCCCTGAAACAAATAATACATTATATGTTGATTAAAAAAAATAGTTAAAATAAAAAAAAAAGATATATCCATGTCCTGGAATCTGTGGATGTGACCTTATTTGGAAAAAAGAGTTTTTCAAGTGTAATTAAGGATCTGGAGATGAGATCAACCTGCATTATCTGAGTGAGCCCTAAATTTAGTAACTGTCCCACACTGTAAGAGACACACAGAAGACACAGGAAGAAGAGAATGCTAGGTGAAGGAAGAGGCAGAGATTGGAATTATGCAGCCACTAGTTATTTTAGGAAACTCTTTGACTATGGCTCACAATTTGGCCTTAGTCCAGGGAACATAAGAAATTTGGGATTTATTTAGATCCTCAGAAGACTTAACTTTAAAAGTGGCAGGCTTGGGGGACCTGGGTGGCTCAGTTGGTTAAGTGTCTGACTCTTGATTTCAGCTCAGGTCATGATCTCTGGGTTGTGAGATCAAGTCCCATGTCCTGCTTGTGATGCCCAGCTCAGAGCCTGGTTGGGATTTTCTCTCTCCCTCTCTCTTTGCTACCCTCCCCAAAAGAATAATAAAAAAATAAAAGAGGCAGGTTTTCATAGATTCAGGAGAGGAGGGAGCTGGAGAGAGTTTCAGAGGAAAAGGGAGTTTCGGTGGAAGGATTAGAACCAGGGAGCAGTGGGTATAGAGGAGGTGGGGACTG